TAGGACTTCTCGTCAGTATCCTCCCCCAAAAAATGGGAGTTTGGGAGAGAAAAAATTCCGAGTCTCCCGAACACCAGTAGAATAAGATAACATTACAAACCGAAAGTAGCAAATTAGTGTGCTGGCAATGGTAAATACACACAAATAAAAATAAATGTATTTTCACATCATTTACGATAAGTCACGTTAAATATACGAAATAAAATTAAATAGAGTACGATATCAATGTCATCATTTACAATAAGTTGCCAAAGACTGCCGGAAACAGAATTCAAGCGAAAAAAATTCGGATTTTATGCAAAAAAATGACCAGGGTTCTTGAAAGGGGAATACAAAATAAATAAATGTGAGAGTTCAAATTTCACAGAAGTACTTGGCAGGTCTGTTACATCATTAGGGGGTGGAGGAAGAACCATAGACAGCATAGCCTAGCACCAAACACCCTGCACCTGCACCTGCACTACTCAAGCCACACTTTCTGGTTCAGGTACCTGTTTTACTTTAGTTTAGTTTGAGTAAGACAGTAAGAGTTTTACGGCACTTGCAACACAATTAGATCACATGAGCAAAAGTCGACGGAGGTTAGAGATGTTACTAAAGAGTAACATGAGCAAAGAAAAGAAGGGAGGAGAGATAATGACGACAGACAGATGTTTGACAGGAAGGAAAGAAAGAGCAAAACCACACCAGAGCACCCACCAACCCCCCACAGGTACCAGTCTTAGTCCTCCCAAAACGCACAGGGTTTAATTAGTAGTAGTAGGCAACCATTATGAATTCATATTTCGTCAGTGACAAATTTATGGCAGACAAGAAATTACAATGTACATGAGATAAAGAGGCAATACACTAGCGCACAATTTAGACAATTTCAGAGGCGGGCTGCTTCGACATGGCCAATCCGTCTCCCGGTAGAAAGACAGAGGCACTCGATGAAATAAATGTCCCCTCCCAGAGAAACAAAACTATTTGTGTGCGACAGCTGAGGTTGAATCTTAACAGTCAAGTTGACTTGAAAGTTGACCACTTTAAAGGATGAGACTCCCTCACCCCCCCCCCATGGCCCTCCTTGACAGCTCTCCTTAGTTCTATCTACAGATTTATTTCCTATCATTGATCCATACAAAAAAAAAAAAAATCCCTGTGTGGTCTGACCTCTAGCTAGGTCAAGGTCTTTGCTAAATCTGTACGTACATAGTACAGTATGTGCGTCACTTTCCGAAAACAACACAAGCCCATACATAATAATATGTTCCTTACAAATCGACCAACCCCTACGATATAAGCTTCTGTATACAATTCTCCTACCACAAAGTGAAATAAACGAGTAAAGAAGACGGTATCACAATCAATGAACAGCGGGTGGGTTCCGTAAGGCGGGGGCCTTCGTAAAGGTCTAGTTGAGGTCTCCGTTCACAGTAGTGGTGGGGCAAAATCCTGATAATCTATCCGGATAACTGGATAATTCTCAATGAAACATAATCCGAATTCAGACTCTTAAACTCTCTTCCCTAATCCGTTTGCCGAAGTGGGTGCACCCATTTGTTGAAGTGGTTCTAACCCGTTTGCCGAAGTGGGTGCACCCATTTGTTGGGGTGGTTCTAATCCGTTGGTCGAAGTGGTTCATAACATATTATTTGTGGAAGAGGGGCATTAACATGTTATATGAATTTTGTTGTTGTAGTTGTTGTTGTTGTTGTTATTGATCCAACAACAGCTGGGCTCTCGCCCTTCTGTCCAATGCCATGTAGTGATAAGTGCAGGTTTACTGCAGTTGCTGTAATGTTCCGTAGAGTGTGAATATGAGTTTTGTTAAAGCGACTCATTGCCCAGCTCTAACCGAGAGCTTACTCGACCAACTACGGACATCCGGGGTGTCCCCTCTCTGTGGGCCCAACGTGAGAGTAACCAAAATGTCAGAAAAAAAATGAAAATGGTAAAGCTTTTACGCCCCTATCAACACTATAAGGTTATTCAAAAGGCAGAACCTTCGAGTTTAACGTCCATCTCCGTAAGGATTGAGCCAAACAGGAAATTCGTGTTAAGTGCCTTTCCCAGGGACACAATGTCGGACTGAGCTGAGGCTCGAACCCCCGAACCCACAAAATACATCAGATGCGAAAGACAATTTCGACTTATTTTTAGAAACAAGACCTCAACTAGACCTCCATCCGGCCCTCCCCACTCGGCCCACAAATATTTCACAAACTTCTCTCGATGTATGCGTCCTGAATTCTCGACCCGCCGTACGGCAGAAATCCAAGAACCCGCAGGGCTTCAGTTTGAAGGAACCTGCGGCTCAACAAATAAGCTGTGTAAATCTGGAATCATCCGGTGAGAGGTCGGAGGTCCACCCTGACCTTCTCGTTGCAGCTGAGCATCCCAACCGTCGGGTAGAAGCCACCTTTGGGCACCCGCACCTCCCGATGACCCACCAGCTTGCCGTTGCGTGTGAAGAACACCTGAGGAGGAAAAGAGAGAAAAAAATCTGGGAATAATAAAGTGAAACGTGCTGACAAAATGAGTTACTTCTCGGATTCGAACACCATGAAAATAAATACATCACGCTAACAGGTGAAGTTTTTATAATTAATACAATCCGTACATCGTGTTTTACTATCGTATCCATAATAATATGACGTGATGAACTCTGTGCCACCACTTTCCAAAGAGGAAATCTACTTGTTGCTCCGATCCGTACGCTTCGCATAGCAGTCTGTCAAAATGACTTTTTGAGAAATACTGAAAGTTCCAAAGAGATCTTCGTACTAGAAGTATTATAAAATGTGAAGAATACAACCCCGGGGGTACAAAATGACCCCAGGGTGTACGGATAGGATAAAGACACAAGTGTAAACTATATTGAGTATTTTCCTTCTATTTTCTAAGCTGCACACACATCTGCGGTGTAGCAGTGAAGCACTTCCTCTTTTTTAGTGTTTTTTTGTAAGTTTTAGTAAGAGTTAGTAAGAGTTCTACAGCACTTGCGACACAATAAGGTCATATAAGTGCCGAAGATTAGAGGTGTTACAAGACAGTAACATACACGAAAAAGAAAGAGGGGAGATAAGGACGATAGATGTTGGATAGGAAAGCAGGGGCAAACTACACCAGAGCGTCCGCCAACCACCCACACTTCCTCATCACACACAAGAAACCCCAGGTCAATACCTGTGACGTGGGGGGGGGGGATTTTAATCGAGTATCTTGATCTTTTTACTAAAAGGCTTCTCAGCCCAGGAGGGCCGCGCCGACAGACAGGGTCAAAAACTCGCCTCGTAAATGATCTAAATTAAACTGACTGGGCTGTTAATACACCTGTATTTTAAAAAACAACAGCAACCCAAAAACAGGACCTGAAGGTAGAACCCTCCAACAGCTCATCACAAACAAACAAAAAACAAATACAAAAGGAAAAAAAGAAAGGAATCCCCCCTGCAAAAAAAAAAAAAAAAAATTAATCTAAAAAAATATATAAAAAACATTACCCCAACCCCCCCCCCCTTAAATAAAACAAAAAAACAAAAAAACAAAAAACAACCAAAAAAAACCATAACGCAATGACTTACAGTGACCTTGGTGCCCTTGACCTTGGCCTGCCTCCTCCGGGGCGGCCGTATAAACGCGTCCAGCAGCTCCTCCTCGTCCGAGTCGGCCAGCCCCAGAAAGCCGTCCAGGTGAGCCTCCTCTCCCTCCTCCTCTTCCTCCTCCTCCTCCTCCTCTGCCCCTCCTCCCTTCACCACGTCCTCGTCCTCGTCGTTGCTCAGGGCTTCAGCGTCGCTGTCGTAGTCTGGGGGGAAGTAGATGCCGCAGCCCATCACGTCACCTGATGAAGGGGAGACAATCGTGGGATATATATAGTCAACGGGAGTTTGCTTGTTTGCTTCGGAAAAAGATTTTTTTTTAAAGTAAGAGTTTTACAGCATTTGCAACACAATAAGGTCACCTGACCGAGGGGAGACAACCCCAGGATATATAGTTAGTTTCCGGGAGTTTTTTTTTAGTGAGAGTTTTACAGTACAGAATTTGCAACACAACAAACTCTTATATAAGTGCCGAAGATTAGAGCTGTTACAAGAGAGTAACAAATATAAAAGGAGTAGAAAAGATAAGAACGATAAATGTTTGATAGGAAAGAAGGAGCAAACCACACCAGAGCACCCGCCAACCACCCACAAAAACGAGACGGACGGACAGACAGACAGACAGAAACAACAGGGAGAAAGAAAAGATGTAGGACCTACCAATAGCACCCTCCAACCATCCACATGAGAAAAAGAGAAAAAGCATTGAAACGATACCAGCCACTAGGTTCGAGTAACTAAAGCACTCACACTGACACACTTTGGCACAGGTAACTGACTCACCTACAGAACACTTGGGGCCAAATCGAACACCTAGGCCGGACCCATGAAACAACTTTCCATCATCTGAAACAGGTGCATCTTTCATCATTTTACAAAGAAAAAATCTTTTTTTTAAAAACCCAACAATTTTTACAAAGAAAAATTCTTTTTTAAAAAAACTTTTAAAAATCCAACAGTTTCAATAAAAACTATAGATTATTCTCACAAGCCAAATGCATAAAAGGTAATCGTGTCTAGCGCGCTCATATGACCCTATGCAGTTGCGATCGCCGTAAAACTCTTACTAAACTAAACTAAAAACGTGTTTTGAAATTCAAACATGTCAAGTTAACTACAAAATCTGGGGCACCAGCCCAAAAGATCATAAAAGCATTTTAGATTTTATGGACAGTTTTCTTTCTTCCTGAACTATTTTCATAACAAAAGTAATCGAGTATGCTTTCACAAACACCTATCTTTCTGGGTTTAGTTTTATAAGAGTTTTACGGCATTTGCAACACAATAAGGTCATAGAAACGCCGAAAATAAGAGTAGAGATGTTACAAGAGAGTATCAAACACAAAAAAAGAAGAAGGGGAGATAAGGACGACAGATGTTTGATAGGAAAGAAAGAGCAAATCACACCAGAGCACCCACCAACCACCCACATATCAAGTTAACTACAAAACCTGGGGCACCGGCCCAAAAAATCATAAAAGCATTTAAGAATTTATGGACTCATTTCCTAGCTTCCTAAACTATTTCTATAACAAAAGTAAACCAGTATGCTTTCCCAAACACCTATATTTTTTTAGTCTTTGTTTTAGTAAGAGTTTTACAGCACTCCCAACACAATAAGGTCATATAAGTGCTGCCGAACATTAGAGGTGTTACAAGAGAGTAACCAACAACAAAAAAAAGAAGGGGAGATAAGGACGCTAGATGTTTGATAGGAAAGAAGGAGCAAACCACACCAGAGCACCCGCCAACCACCCACACCTATATCTAAAAGTAAGAACAGCAACTAGTTCATAGAACGACACTAAAAGACCAATAAGCATCAAATAGCTATCTATTTGTGTCTGCTTGTTTGATTGTTTGTGTGTGTGTGTGTGTGTGCGTGTGTGTGTGTCTGTGTGTGCATGTGTGATTGTCTGTGTGTGTGCGAGCGTATGTCTGTGTTTGTGTGTGTGTGTGTGTGTGTGTGTGTGAGTGTGTCTCTGTGTGTCTGTCCGTGTGTCTGCACGCGTGTGTGTGCCTGTACACTGTTTTTAAGCATTAGCCTCTTTATTCACAGCCATAAAGAAAAAGTAATCAATGAATGATTTTAAAAAAGAAAGAACGTAAATAAAATAAGCAATGAAAAGGAAAAAAAAGGGAAAGAAAAAAGAAGAAAAGAACCTCCCAGCACTTTAGTTTTAGTAAGAGTTTTACGGCACTTGCGACACAATAAGGTCATATAAGCACTGAAGATTAGAGAAGAGGTGTTACAAGAGAGTAACAAACACCAAAAAAGGAGGAGAGAAAAGGACGATAGATGTTGGATAGATAGGAAAGAAGGAGCAAACCACACCAGAGCACCCAATAACCACCCAAAAAGAAAAGAAAAAAAAAGACAGAAGCCTCCCAGCACTAGGCCACTGACCTGCGTGATAGGCTATAGAGCCGTCGTTCCAGCCCGGGTGACGTCTCATTGGGTAGTTCTGGGGGGAAACACATCCATGGGAAAGCCAGATTAGACCAAAGGAATCTACGTATGCTAGCGCCAGCGCAAAATACAGTCAAAATTTTCCAACATAACAATAACAACAATAATAACAAAAACAACCCAACAATAACAACAACAATGCAACAGTAACATCAACACAACAATAACAATAACAATACAATGATAACACAAAAACAACATAGGGTCTAACAATAAACAACACTATAATAACAACAACAACAAAGACAACAACAACAACACAAGAGTAAACACAACAATAACAACAACAACAACAACGAGCAAAGTAACAACAAGCAACATGCCTGTTTGGCCAGCCCAATAGCCACATAGCAGCCCTCGCCAGGATCCACAATCTCAAACTCAAAGTAATGGTTCGTTGTGTCCAGCGGTAGCTTGGCCTGTGCCAGCCCCACGTCGTGGATGGTACGCCCCCGGCCCGCATACTCCAACGTCTGAAAAATACAAACAAAAAAATGTATATATAATGTAATTCTAGTTTTAGTAAGAGTTTTACGGTGATTTCCAAAGCTTGAGAGTCCTTGGAAACTGAAAATCTACATTTGTCGTGCCTTTAATCAATGTTTTTCAGTAAAATCCACACAGAAATATGTTTTTAAACGGACGTAAAAAGCGTTGAGCCAAAAAATGAAAATGAGAAAATAATTGTCAAACTGGAGGAAAAATGTCGATATCTTCGATTTCATTATTTTGACGAGCGCCTGATTTCACCACGCCACCTCACATATATCTACGCATTCTCGATTTTAAAAAATTATTATTTTTTAAAAAATAATAATAAAAAAACCCCAAACCAACTGACCGATCCGTTGAGCCGGACGTCGTCCAGTCGCACCCAGTCCTCCTCCCCGCAGTCCACCATCATCTGAGTCACATCGTCCGGGTCCCAGGCCGCGTCCAGTCTCAAGGTCACCTCCTCGCCCTCCGACTGCATCCCGACTGCTGGGTACAGCTGGATCGGAAGAAGCGCGAGCTCGAAACTTTTGATCTGTAGGGAAACGGAACAAAGGCACATGTTTAGGCTCTCACAGTCTAGAGGTTACGGTGTTCGCCTCTCATTCAATAGGTCCCGTGTTTGAAACCTGATAGTAACGGAAAATTTTCTTCTCTACAATGCTCTCCTTTCTCCTCCTTTCCTACTCTGTAACCATATATATTCTACTGTCAGTTTTCGTCTTCACTTTCTTACCCCCTACCCCCCCCCCCATCCCCTTTACCCCCTCCTCTGGGCTCCTGACTCTTTCCGCAACCTTTCTACTGCTTCTCCTTGGCTTCTTCGTACTGCTGTCTTTCAGCCACACCCCTGATCTTATGGTAGTGAGGTAAGATCATAACATCTAGCCTTTTCGGATAAGGGTGAAAAATCTCAGAGGTCTCGTGAACAACTTGCACTTTAAAAAAAACCCAAAAAAACAAAGGTATGTGTTCTCAATGATTGGTAATTTTTTAAAATTGGAAACTGTTCAAATCAACTGCTTAGTATACAATTCTGCGATACGCCATTTTGAACAGTCATGTACGATGGAGTCTTACACTGAGCACCCAAATTGTTCGAAAGCCCAAAATGCAAAATTTCTCAGGAGAGAGAGAAAAAAAAATGGTTTCATTCTTTTAACAATTGTTCTTATTTTGTGTATCTTTTCTAGCCCTTTTTCAACATGAAGATTTTGGATTTTGACCTAATATTTCTTGAGCGCATGCAACGATGCCACAATTTAAAAAACTGCAGTGAAAAAAACTTTTCTAAATTTCTTTGCTGTCTCTTTACTGCCCGGCCCACCCTCTGCCGCCCGTCCGTCTCCTGTGGTATATTCCACAAACACTTAAGTCACTGTTTAACTCTTTACTTATTTCTTTAGCAAAGTAGAACTATTACACATCACAAGAAAGGATATCTTTAAAGTCGAATTTTTTTTTAAAACCCCAAAAAACTGCCTAAATATTTTCGCATCAAAACATGGATATCACTTCAGTAATTCTGGACAAGGATATCTATAGAGCCATATGGTCACGCCAATGATACGGCTCAGCACTGGGAATGAGTTAACCCTATCCATACGTCGTGTTTTACTATCGTATCCATACGACGCGACGAGGGAAACTCTGTGCCACCACTTTCCAAAGAGAAAATTTACTCATTAATCCGATCCGCACGCTTTGCATAGGAGTCTGTCAAAATGATTTTTGGAGAAATACTAAAAGTTTCGAAGAGATCTTCGTACTAGAAGTATTCTAAAATTTGGAGAATACAACCGCGCGGGGGGGGGTACAAAATGACCACAGGGCGTACGGATAGGGTTAAAACTACTCTGGGTGAGGAGACGTCAACGAGACACATGCGTGTGTGTGAGCGAAGCACTCACCTCTTGTCCGTTCTTGGAGAAGAAAACGCGGCACGTGTGTCGGTCCCCGGCCCCGTGCTCCGGCTGTGGCCTCACCCCGACCCCCATCCGGTCCCCCGGGCCACACGGAGGTCCATTCCCGCTGTGGCACAAGCCCAGATTTACACACAGGCTGAAACAAAAAAACAAAAAAACCAGAACAAAACTTAGTTTTAGTTAAGAGGATATTCAGTTGATTTATGTTGTATGCATGTTCGTCCACACCTGTTACTTGTGTGTCCTCAAGTATCTATGTTGTTGGTGTATTCACAGGTGCCTGTTATTAGTTTTAGTAGAGGTTTTACGGTGCTCGCAACTGCATAAGGTCATATGAGCGCCAGAAGATTAGATCAGGTGTTACAAGAGAGTAACAAACATTAAAAAAAGGAGGGGAGAAAAGGACGATAGATTTTTTTAAGGAAAGAAGAAGCAAACCACACCAGAGCACCCGCCAACCACCCACACAGGTACCTGTGTCAAGCGTGACTTTGTATTGTTATTGAAATAAAAGACATAATAAATTCGAAACAAAGACTGTGAAAGTTATTTATTAGTAAGAGATTTACGGCACTTGCAACACAATATGGTCTTATAAGTGCCTAAGACTAGATGTGTTACAAGAGAGTAACAAACAAAAAAAAAGAAGGAGGAGGAGAGACAAGGACGATAGATGTTTGATATGAAAGAAGAAGCAAACCACACCAGAGCACCCGCCAACCACCCACTAAAAAAACAAAAAAAACAAAAAACAAAAGCAATCACCTGAAATTTCACCAATCTTGAAAAGATTAAGAAATATCACTCCTCGACTAGATGGCAGATGATCCAGGGTCGAATCCATGGTGTGGTTTTCCCATGTGTTCACATATATTATAAACATTAATAAAAACTACACAAGACAAACCAGCACATACATACACAAACATACACACGCACACATACACGCACACACACACACCAACACTCACTCACACACACATACATACAGACCTACACATGCACACACACACACACGCACACACACATACAGACCCACACATGCACTAAACCCCTAATCCACAATAACAAGCAGAAGTGAAGTGTCTCCCTAAAGGCATTGTTCTCAATGAAATCATCATCATCATCATCATCTATGCCTTTCACCCCTGGCAGGGTATAGGCCACATACAAGCTCCTTCCATTTATCTCTGTCCTGGGCCATCCTTTCATCCCTGGCAGGGTATAGGCCACATACAAGCTCCTTCCATTTATCTCTATCCTGGGCCATCCTTTCACCCCTGGCAGGGTATAGGCCACATACAAGCTCCTTCCATTTATCTCTGTCCTGGGCCATCCTTTCACCCCTGGCAGGGTATAGGCCACATACAAGCTCCTTCCATTTATCTCTGTCCTGGGCCATCCTTTCATCCCTGGCAGGGTATAGGCCACATACAAGCTCCTTCCATTTATCTCTATCCTGGGCCATCCTTTCACCCCTGGCAGGGTATAGGCCACATACAAGCTCCTTCCATTTATCTCTATCCTGGGCCATCCTTACTAGCTGGTTCCAAGTGAGCTTCATCTCTCTCATGTCCCTTTCCACACATCTCCTCCATGTCTCCCGTTCTCAATGAAATGAGAAGTCTTATTTGACATAGCTTTTTTAAAAAAAAGTTTTAGAAGAGGTTTTACAGCGCTCGCAACTGCATAAGGTCATATGAGCGCCAGAAGATTAGAGGTGCTACAAGAGAGTAACAAACATAAAAAAGAAGAAGAGGAGATAAGGACAATAGATGTTTGATAGGAAAGAAGAAGCAAACCACACCAGAGCACCCGCCAACCGCCCACTTTTGACATAGCTATACCAAGCAACAACATGCTTGTGATGAGTGTTCTTGGTTATGGTCAAAGGTGAGAGTAAAGGTTAGAGTGTTCTTGGTTAAGGTGAAAGGTGAGAGTAAAGGTCAGAGTGTTCTTGGCCAAGGTGAAAGGTGAGAGTAAAGAGTAAAGGTTACAGTGTTCTTGGCCAAGGTGAAAGGTGAGGGTAAAGGTTAGAGTGTTCTTCATTAAGGTGAAAGGTGAGAGTAAAGGTTATGCAACTTACGATCCATTCTCCGCAAGGTATCCCACAGAGTTGAGTTGCATGCCAGGTTGAGAACTAAGCGAGTATTTTTCGGGGACCAATCCTATACCTGAAAGCAGAAAAGTTTTACGTTTTCACACGAGTCAAATCTTCCCACAAGACACAAGGAAGTTATGGGCTGTGCCACGGTAACTGACAGGACATTTGGATAATACGTTCTTACGATGATAACACTAATTCAATATCACTTAATTTTAATTTATTTCAATTTTAAATGATCACAACATTTGAAAGACACATTAACTCTATCCGTACGCCCTGGGGTCATTTTGTACCCTCGGAGTTGTATTCTTCACATTTTAGAATACTTCTAGTACGAAGATCTCTTTGAAACTTTTAGTATTTCTCCAAAAATCATTTTGACAGACTGCTATGAAAAGCGTACGGATTGGATTAACGAATAAATATCCTCTTTGGAAAGTGGTGGCACAGAGTTCCCTACGTCGTATGGATATGATAGTAAAACACGACGTACATATAGGGTTAAGAATCATAATAATTGCGGTAATTTGAAAAAAAAAATTACTTTACAGAAATTCTGTCACTTGTTTAGTTTTGGTAAAGTGACGGGACAGAAAAAATACCTCGTTTGTCACATCAGTTACCGATTGGGGGGGGGGGGGGGGGGGGGGCGGGGGTGATGATGGGGTGCGGGTGACAAAATCTTGGAACGACTGGTTTGTTGTCTTAAAGACATATAGCAACATCACCTCAGAACACAAAACAACAAAGTTACAGGCTTGCCAAACTTTTTCCAAAGCCAACCAGACACACTCCAATGTTGTAACATCAGTTTACCTAACAAGGAACAAAATTACAACCAGCGGGACTGGTTTTGGTGTAGTAGGCTAAAGTGTCCTCTCAAATTCCCGAAGCTAGGATAGTCTAAGGAAATTTAAGGACAATTGACGAGGCTGAAGATACGGTACCAATGTTAGTAGGTGTGATTCGACACCTGTGAAATCAACACTGCCGTACACTGACAAAACGCCTTTTTCTCATTCACAGAAATTTCGAGAAATCAACAATTTTCAGTTTTTTCTTATAGTAATTGGTGAGCATAGGGAATGACATTTTCCTCAGGGAGCGAGATCAACCGTTGATGTACTGCGAAAAATAGTTTAAATATTACAAGAAAACTGAAAATTGTAGATTTCTTGGAACTGATGTGAATTCAAAAAAGGTGTTTGGTCAGCGTACAGCAAAACACTCTTCAATTTTTAAATTATTTTTTAAAATGCTTTCGTCTTTTTAAAAAGTTTTAATAGTAGTTTTTACGGCGCTCGCAACTGCATAAGGTCATATGAGCGCTAAGGGGTGGATGTCAACAGGGAATCAGGCTTACCTGCACACCTTTCTAGCTTCGACAGCACACACCCACACACATACACAAACACTCACTGATCTGCCCTAAATCTCACACACACACAGACAGACACACACACACAAAAGCACTCACTGATCTGTCCTAAATCTCCCACGTCCAGAATCTCCACCTCGAAGTAGTTGTTGTAGTGGTCGATGGTGCGGGTGGCCACATACAGGCCCGGGGGGTCGCCGGCACTGCCGCTGTAGCTGGGGACACAGACACCGGGGGACAAAATAGAACAAAACTTTTTTTCTTTTGCGAGCGTCCGATACTTGCGACAAAATTTTCGTTTCATTTAGAGCTAGTTATTAGTTGTAAAGCGCATAGAGCATGCTCTTGATCATGGATATGCGCTATATAAATGCAACATTATTATTATTAGTTTTTGCTTGTTTTTCCGAACTATTCCCGAACTAAGTTTTTTAGTAATGTCTAAGCATTTGTTTCCACCATTAAGAAGTTGGAGGCAAGCTTTTGGGGTTCTAATGAGACAAAGTGCAACAGGTTTAGGGGACTGTAGAAAAAACTCCGGGAAACGGTGGGAAAAAACTCTGTGTTTAAAGAGTTAACGCCCCTATCAACACCAGTAGGTTATTTAAGAGGCGGAACCTCCGAATTCAACGTCCTTCTCCGAAAGGACCGAGCCAAATGGGAAATTCGTGTGAAGTGCCTTTCCCAAGGACACAACTTCGGACCGAGCTGAGGCTCAAACTTCTTTGTTTTTTTCAAGGAACATAGTTTTGCAAAGAGCTCACACAGCTTTTGACACTAGAATTGATAAGAAACAATCAAATGTATTGAGAGTCTAAATAGAATAACATTTTAAAATATTTAAAATTAGTCGTAATAATCCAAGATGGCAATCCAATACCAAGGAAAAAAGAGATTGTCTTAGAAAGGTGAATATTAAAGTCATATTAATGTTTTAAAAAATATATGGGGGGAAACAGGAAGTGGATGTTTGTACAGGTGATTCTATTGGACAGGTAGCCGTTAGAGCAAGTTCCACTGTAGTTTTGAACAAGATTTTACAAGAGCCCAAAAATATTTTCACACTATAATTGACAAGAAAAGAAACAACTAATAAGTCTAATTGCATTAATGGTCTAAATATTAGGACCCCCCAAAAAATACAATAAGGAGAAAATTCATACTTTAAATTAAAATCATCTTCTCTAATTCACTGACTTCAAAGGTCTTGTCAAAAAACATGAACCACTCCCCCCTTTCATGTTTCAGTGGAACCAAATGAGGGCAAGGTAATCTACAGGAGCACCTGCCACTACAAACCACATCTGTTGCACATCAATATATCGGAAAACAAATGAATAATACATTTGTACTGTTTTTACACATATTAGAATAGAACCATTGTACATATATATATATATATGTAAGCAGTGTAACTTCTCATGTGGTGAGATGACAGGGACTAAAGAACTAAAATCAGGGATGCCACTCAACTTTTTTTTAAATGGCAGAAAATCCACGTGCCACGATTTCCCTAACATAAATATGAATATCAATTTCAAACCCACTTTTTTTGGGTCCAACTATAGATTCTATCTCGATCTCAATAACAGAATAGCGGATCAGGATCAAAATACCGGAAATACCAAAAAAAAGCGTAGAAGAGGCATCCCTGTAAAATCAAAACAAAACAGAACTAAGTAACCTACCTGAGCACATCTTCCTCCATTTTGATACGCTCCATACACGGCTCTGCCCGCACGGGCGCGGGCAACACGGGGCCTGGCCTCGGGGGCATCATGGGACGGGGACCGGCGTAGCGGTAGACGCGGCCTCGCCCCCGGTTGTTCATGATCTGCTCGAGGCCGAAGCCTCCCTGCGGCAGGATTTGCTGGGCCGGGCGTCCTGCCCGTCTGTTGCGGAGCAAGACAGCACGGAACCTCTCAAGGTCATCCATTGTTCATTTTTGGGTACCGCTCTGGTCACCTGAGGAATTGTATAGGAGAGATACCAAATAAAAACTTAATTTAATCATAATAATTCCATTTATATGACATAACCCGTAATGGATCCACGCTACAGCAAGCTCTATTCACTTCACAACTATTACAACGGTGCTATAAACATACAGGCAAATTTCTTCGGACACACAATGCGGAAAGAAGCATTGGAGAATATTGTGACAACAGTTTGATGGAAAGAGAGGCAAAGGCAGACAGAGGGAAAAGATACTGGACAAGATGACAACATGGCTAGGAGCAGAAAGAACAACAGACACCATTGCTGCAGCGCAAGACAGAGTGAAGTGGAGGTCCATGATCGCCCACGCCAGTCGGCAAGGCACCGGGTGAGGATGATAAACATACACGGACAAACACAAGAAAATTTCTGACAGATTCGTAACTTTGACATGAGAAAATCTGTTAATGCGAAAAATAGAACATTTATTTAAAGAAATGGGAATTACAAAGAAAAAAGGCCATCTCTACCCCTTACCCCAAATCAAAAGACTTTAAGTAAACCTTGTCTCAACCATTATACCACAAAAAGGAGTAATTTCACATCTCAACTACAGTTCCACAGTTTGATCACATGCAGAAGCAATAACAAAAGCTTTTAACTTTAACTTTAACAAACAAAAATATATTTAAATGAAACAAAGAAGAATAAAACTTAAAATTGTCAAAATAACCTTTTCATAGGTTTTCATCATGAATTCAATGTCTTGACTGCAACTTTCTAAACAAAGACTAAGTCATGAACTAAGCAGAAAAAACATTTGGTTTGGGAATCAATATGCAGCAGCACTGCTACCCACAGAGCACATCACTAAAGCACTTGAAGTGGAAAAAAAGAGATTATACAAAAAATTATTCTTTTCTTAAGAATAAGCTACCATTAGATTTACTAACTAACAATTAGTGACTGATAAGATGTGCATTATCACAGATGTCGAGACAAGGGGACACTATTTAAGCTAAATCCTTTGAGGTCTTTGAAACCTACATCATAACTTTAAAACCAAAATAACAAAAAATTAAAATACCGTTTGCACCATAAAAGAATTGCATTGAGCTCATCCTTGGCTATACCATAATATGACTACCTAAATTATACCATCCCCAAACCCGACGTCCAATAAATAAATCAAAGGGCTTTGGCTAGCCTTGAGGGTCGAGTAGTTTGGGAATTATATTCTCCATATTCTTCAGGGAATATTATAGACTAATTATATTTTCGCTTATATTTCATTTACAAAATTCACAGTAAGCTTTCATGTTTCAAAAAGTAAATTTTACTTTAAAAAACAATGATAAAAGGTACCAAACATGTAAATTTTCAGTTTCCAAGGACTCTTAAAAGCTGAGAAAATCACCAAACTTTGGTGGGCATTTTATCACTAACTTTACAGGCTCTGAAACCAGGCAATCCCCACCTTCAAACGCAAAAATATCTTAACTTCTTTTCAAAGATAGAAGAGATGGGTACTTTTTTCATTGCAATGAAAGATAGTCAAATGAACATGCTTTAAGATGAAACAAATAGCCTACTTGTCATAATGCCCAAAAATAGACGAGAGCCTCTTATACCACAAGGTGACACGTGTTTCGGACCCGTATTTCTGGATAGACATCTCATCTCTGCGAGTTTTCTAGACAAACGTAAAGGCAGATAAGTTACTACCATGGTTGGTCACTAGACTAAGAGTAAGACTTAGAACTTGAAGAGTTTTGCTTCAGTCAGTGAACAACATTACAAATGAATCAAGATCTAATCTAGATCTTGATCAAGGCCTACTATTACTAGAGACGAAGTGACTATTCGGACTCGATATGAAAAAATGTTATTCGGACTCTGATTCTTGTCCAGCATGACATCACTTCCGACTTCCTGTGACTCATGACTCCGGCTTCCTGTCCTGCCTCACTCGTGACTCGCCTTAGGCTGGGTAGAGACCGGGATCACTTCGGGCAAAATGGCGTTAAATTGTGCAGGAGCCGAGTTTTTATTTTATGATGAATTTGAGGCCGGCCTGAAAAGTTATAGTATAGCGCTTCTAATAAACGTTTATTTGTCAAGAGGTCATCAGAAGCAATTAAAGATGGCTCGTTAGCATGTGTCCGGGTCGGATGGGCGGCCTGAACACGTGTGGCTGTGTGTGCGTGTCGGTAGGGGGGGGGGGGGGGCACTATCGGTCCGGGTGTTGAACGTCGCATACGTGTCAGTCCCCCCCCCCCCCCCCCCCGGCAACTGATCATTATTACAATAATAAGGCTAGTCTTGACGTAGATCTACGTATGAATTGTGCGCTGGTCTATGGAATCAAAAGTTGCCGTATGCTCAGCTCTACACAGCAACACAACTTTTTCTTGGTAAACAATCGAGATGACACAGGCTTGTGTATTTGAACGAATCAGTCTTTTTTTTTTTTTTACACAGCTCATAATATGCAGGTGCCAGGTGGTCTGCTTCTAATGTTCAATTTTACCTTTTTCTACAACAAAGAAAGTGGGAAACATGGGGGGTGGGTGTATCAATGAGGCGGCGGGCATTGGATCGGCAGAAAAGGTGTGGGGGAAACTAAAAAATGGCGGAAAATTGGAAACACTGAACGATAGATCTATAGAACGAATACACACTTCTTTTTTTCGGACCTGAGTCTGAATAACATTTTTCCATATTCGGACTCGAGTCCGAATAAGAATTTTTTTTATTCGGACTCGAGTCCGCATATGAAAAAATGTTATTCGGACTAATGACGGCCTACTAATCTAGATCTAGAGATCTATAACTATGAACTAGAAACTAGAATCTAGATATATCTAGACTCTAGATTTAGATCTCACCAAAGCCAAAGTGAAACTTCAGAATCAGAGTGACTCAGACTCAGTCGACTGAATCTCAAGTCAAGACGAAGAGGGAGGAGGTGATGATTGCAGTGGTGGAGACAGTAAATGGTTGTCAATCTTCTTGTTGGTGTTACGACTGGCAGCCCTAGCCCATTACACTGTCGACAGTGCAAGTGCTTGTAGCAGTTAGGCTACTGAGTAGACTGTACTGTAGAGTACTGACAGTGACAAGAAGTACTTGTACTAGAGATCTAGACTCAAGAATCTAGTGATAACGACGGCACAGAGTCAAAACATGACGAACAACTGCGATTGAATAGGCTCGACAGTCGAACAGAAGATTAGAAGGCCAAAGCTGTATTAACTAAACAGAAAAACCGTTCCAGTTCTGGTAGACGAGATGAGAAAGAAGGGCAAAAAAAAAAGGTGGGGAAGACAAGATTAACTTACCTGTTCGTTTCTTGAAACAGATAAAAATAGAAACACATTGAAGTCAGCTGCCAAGATACAGGCAGGCAGGCAAATAAATAGCAAATTTACTTCCGCTTGGTCAGAATCAGCAGAGTTACCCCTCTTTGATAAACAAAACTCTCTCCAGGGAAAGACGTTGGAAGAAAACTAGGACAAGGCCATTTTGTATGGTTGAATGAAAAAGTTTGGGAACTTGTTTAACACAAAGACTAGATTCTAGATCTATAATGATATGTGTTAACAAATGCATTTCTCGATAAACGGGAAAGAGATCG